ACGTACGTACGTACGTAACGTACGTACGTACGTACGTAACGTAACGTAACGTAACGTAACGTAACGTAACGTAACGAACGAAGAGAAGAGAGAGAGAGAGAGAGAGAGAGAGAGAGAGAGAGCACACGATTATCTGCACGGGTACTTTAAAACATTAGAAGAAGCACCAGAGAGAGAGCTGACCTGAATGTGAGCGCTCTGGATTAGGAGGACAGCAAAAGCAGGCATCCGTTGGCGTTGTAAGACATTTGCAGCAGAAGAGAATGGAAGATGTTGATTATGTGTGTGAGATTACGAGACTAAATGGAAGATGTTGATTATGTGAGAGAGAGTAAATGGAATGGCAGATGGGTTGTTACCTACCTTGGCGAGGATTGCTCGAGTGAAGACTTTGCTGTCTTCTTCATTGGCGCCTGTGAGCCATATATAATGCCTCCTACTCGCTGCCCGCCCCGGTATCCTTTTTTTTACATCAAGACACAACTAACTTTTACCACCGCCAACTAAATAAGAGTTCCTCTTATAAACAATCCAAGGAATTTCCAAATATCACTGAAATTAATCTTCTAAAATTAAATAAAGAATTTGAGTAAACAAAATAAAATAACTAAAAAATTTATCAGTCAATCGCTTTCATTAAAAAGATGTGGCAAAGGCTTATGCTAGCTCATGCCCTATGTAACACAACCTTCCTCTTTTATCCCGGCTTAGGAGCCACACGGCCGGCCGGCTTGGGACATGGTAGAGTTAAATGAATGTTCGTCTTATTCTTTAAATAAGTACTTTTTTTACAAAAATATTGTATTTCTAAACATATATGTAGATACCCATTTTGAAATGGCTTATGTTAAGGTGCTCCGACTATCATTGTACTCAATAAAATTCGGACACTTATATACCCTTGTTTGATACATATAGCATTTGTTTAGTAAGGGTATATTTGGTTATTAAGAGGGATGTGACATCATTCACGTGTGATGTGATATTATCCACATGAAGCATTAAATGTTATTAAAAATATGCTCTATGTACCAAAAGAGGGTTTAGTAGTATCTAAAATTTGTTGAATACAATCATAAATTACTCCATAATATGAACACCCTATCATAACTCTTTTGAAATTTACTATTTTTCGTATTTCTTGAAAATCCTAATTTTGCAAACCTGAACCATAAGGATCATAATAACTAAATAAATAATACATGTAGTCCATAATCCTCAAGAAAGCACCTAAATCTTGCCAAATCAACTTAATTCTGACAAAATATATGTGAACCTATCCTTATTAATCCGGTCTTATTCTTAACAACATAGGAAACTCAGAAAACTTCAAATCGTTGACCCCAAAAAATGCAGCAGAATTTAATGGGACCACCGTTGCTAGATTCAACCGAATCTCTAGTATGAGCCAGAGCTTGAGTCTAGGTTGGCAACGGGGGGTGTCGCCAAGCTTGGCGGGACCAGTGATGGGAACCGCATTGCTGACATTCTTCGAGTCGTGGAATTTGGCGAAATTTTTTGGAATGTTCTTCAAGGTTTCTATTTAACTGTTCAGATGGATTTGACGGACCTATTTTGACCCAAGAAATTCTAATCCTATCAGATTTAGTACTGTAGAGATAAGCCTAGGATTCCTAATCCCAATAGCACTACGACCTCACCTAAATCCCATAACTAAAATCCTAGAGAAATTTGAGAGAAAATCCCTTAGACTAGACAAAAACCTTAGAGCCTAAAAGCCTGAGAAAACCCTTGGTCTAGAAACCCTAATTCAATACAATTAATAAAACCCTAATTCAAAAGCCTTAGGATGAATATGCCTAATGTCTACCCACAAATCGGAGTACATCTCGACTGAGATCCCTCAAATTCGTACCAAATAGGTGAAATTTGAATATATAGTTTCAAAACTAACACAAATCAAAGAAGATCTGACCCCCCCTTAAATATGTAGGCAGTGCTAGCTGAAATCTCATACCAAATAAATATTAAAAAGTTAAATCTAAGAACTTAATTAAATAAAATAAATCAAGCAGGAAATAAAACAAGAAATAAAAGAAAATGATGAGATCACTTACTTGAGAAAACATGTAATTGGGGCCAATATCAGGACCGCGGGTTGATTTATGTATTTGATACATTCTCTTACTTTCTTGACAAATTGGATTTAAAAGTTTTTTTGATCTAGGAGATCTTGCTCTTAAGGTTTTGATTTAAAAATTGTGTAGAGATTTTTTTGGGGTGATTTTGGCTTAGGATTTCTAGCCTAGGGTTTTCTAGGTTCTTGGAGCCTAGGGGAATTTTTGGGGTAAATTTTGTATGGATGTTGTATTATTTTCCTAGTTTTCTAGGGAATCTAAGATTTTCTAATGATTTTTTACCAATTTTCAATAGGGAATTAGAGGGGTTTATATAGGGTGTAGAGGGGGGGAGGGATGGGGATAGGGTTTCTATCCTTAGCAAATAAAAACTCTAGGAAGAGCATTCCTTAAGTACTTCTCAAAATTCGTGCAAACCTCTACGGTTGAGGATGAAGACAGCACAACTACTAGCCCAGTCCAGGCTACCAACTCCAGATGCTGAATCAAGGGGACCAGATTCTAAATAAGTCTTTATTTTCTTTTAATTTTTAGTTTATTTATTTATTTTATCCCTTTTTTGTTTTCTTGGTTTGTTTATAGATTTTGCATGATTTCAAGCTGGTTTTGCCAATGGTATGTGGGGAGAAGATTTGTCTTTGCAGATCCACCTTCTCATATACTGTAATTCGATGGATCCCAAATTTCTCTATTGAAATTTTAATGGTTTAGTTTAAAGCATAAATCAAAGAGAATTTATTCCCGCAATCTCCTGAATTTGGCTGTAAATTATATAATAGGTAAAAGTATAGAGATATGTGGAATGCTCACTTTAAAATAGCTATATTAGTCATGTAGATAACAATACAATTGGCATTTTTAAATATATTGGGTATAAATATAACTATGTTATATATGATGGGCAGGTTCTTTTTATTGATTAAATATGTTCTCATACTTAAATAATATTTACCAGAGGTAATGGGTGGTATTTCCTGAACATATAGGGAAGTTAGACTCACATGGTTGCCTATTGACCACCTGATTCACCATGAAAATGTCCACAATCTCATAAGAAAGCCCTAAGTCAAAAGCAAAAACATTAAAAACTATATGAGCAAAACCAATACACTTAGGCATCATGGCATGGGTGATTTCCCAAAGGAAGATACTGACTGCATATGGAATCAGAGAATTTCTTAAGATTCAAGAGTGATTTTTGATGCAAGAATAAGATACCAAAAGTTGGATCTTACGAGGAATGTGTATGTAAGCCTAGAAATAAAATATGTGGAGCGAATCAAAATGCAAGTAATAAAACATAAAACACACGCACACTACAAGAACACAAAGATTTATGTGCTTAATTGAAATGGCTTGCATCCACAAGCATGACAAAGTGAAATCCACTATACTGATTAGAGATCTTAGATTTTGAGATACAGAGTTTACTCTCTAACCCTGAATAAGACCTAGTTGAGCAACCCTTTTAGACCAACTCTATTAATTGACATCTCCCGTTGATCTGCAATATCTATTTTATAGCTAGACCATTGTTGCGGAAGAGAACATTAGGTGCAACCAAGATTTTTTCTCACTAAAAGAGAATATCACCCAAAATCTTCAAGAGAACCGCATCTAAAAGAAACCTTCTCATCTTCTCGTGAGACACGGATTGGGATATTTCTCTGGTAAAACTTGTAGCCCGCCATGTTAGCCCCACAGGAGAACCTTTTCTATTGACTAGAAAGGCACTCATCAGTCAGCTCAGTCCCTTTCCTATTCAGTCTTTCTAGAAAGCTTTCTTTCCTATATGGTGGCCCAAAATAGGTCACAAAAATAATTTCATTGCTCATTTCATAGACGTAAGGTTATGAATCCCATACTAAATAGAAAGTCCATAGACGCCACATATATCTTAAACTTTAAATATATAACCATGACTCCTAATTTAGGTGGATTTATATTTTCTTTACACAATCTTAATCCCTATTAACCATCAGATTTCAATAGGCGATGGTTTGACCTATCGCTTCTATCAAAATGGGGCTTTCATGGATGTGCCATGTGCTTCTTGTGCAAAGCTGAAGCCGAAGGCCATGAGCACCTCTGCTTCAAATGTGTCTTTGTGGGTGAGATTGTGCAAACAATAATATGAAGATTTGACAGTACACAATGAATATTCTTAACGTCCAAATCTTTTTCGCAAATAGGAATCTAATCCGGCATAATTGGTTAGCAACTGAAGTTTGCCATGTTACGTCCTAGGTGTTGGGCTTACCCACCCCACCCGTTCGAATGCAAATGCTTGTAGTGGAATGCGAATATATGAGACACAAAAAATATGCTAAAGTCGATGTGTATGTATGAGTGTAAAAACATGCAAATAAAACATACAATTTATTGGCATTCTAGTTCACGTTTTCAGGTTACGTCCACGGGAAAAAAAGACAAATCCACTATTAACTCAATGGTTACAATAGTCTTTCAAGAAAACAAACTTTCTTGAGCTTTTTTATTTCTTCTAGAAGATTTTCTCTATACGAGGTTTTTCTCTCTATCATAGGCTTTTTTTCTTTTCTAGAGGAGTTTTCTCTCTCTAAAAAAAATATTATCTCTCTCTCTTTCTTCTTCTTCTCTCTAGGAAAATGGTAACTTTATCTATCTTCTTCTTCTATGCAAAGAATGTTTCATGTATTTTTTGTCAATACACAAAAAATCTAGAAAAGCTCTCACATTTTCCTTTTTTGTATGGGCCAACCATATGAAAAGAGTATCACATTGCCTCTTAAAAGGTAGCCCATCTCTATTTCTTTTTAAAAAAAGATTAGAGGAAGTATCTACCTATATCAATTACGTGAGACTTCCCATTTTCATTGGATAATGACTTGGTCAACAAGTCATCTTTTTCACTTTCCAAAACTTCACTTTTTGGAAAGACAATTTCCATTAGATGCTCCTCCCTCAATGGGATGGGACACTTGACAATCTCCCCCTCCAGTCTTAGGAGGGAGGTTTCTCTTTATAGATCAACCTGGTATTAGATGACATCCATGATTATCATGCTTCGGCATAGCTCTTGCCTATCTCTGGCTAAGGTCTTGATCATCATATCTGACGTATTCTTGTCAGTATGGATCTTCTTTAGCTACAATAACTTCTTCTCTAGAACATCTCGAATCCAATGGTAACGTACATCATTGTGCTTCATCCTAGAATGGAAGCTAGTATTCTTGCTCAAGTGAATAGCGCTTTGTCTATCACAATGGATAATATGTTTGTCCTGTTTCAAGCTCAGCTATCGGAGGAATCTCTTCATCTAGTATCATCTCCTTGCAGGCTTTATTGACTGCAATGTACTCTGCCTTGAGTAGACAAAGCCTAATACTTCTGCAGTTTGAACTGCCATGAAATAGCTCCCCCTGCAAATATAAACAGGTATCATGTGATTGACTTTCTAAAGTCTACATCTCCATCCATGTCTGCATCTGTGTACCCTTGTAACACAAGTTCACCTCCCCTAAAGTGCAAACATACTTTGGATGTTCTTCTGGGATATTTGAATATCCACTTGACTGATGCCCATTGATCCTTGCCAGGATTAGTGATAAATTTGTTCACTACACCAATTGTGTGTGTAATATTTGGCCTAGTTCACACCATGACGTACATTAAACTTCCTATAGTCGATGTGTAGGGAAATTTCTGAATTTCTTCCTTCTCATTCTCATTCTCATTATCATTTGAAGGGCTATGCTTGGCACTTAACTTGAAAGAACTTTCAAGTGGGGAACCGACAGGCTTTGCATTGTTCATACTGAACCTTTCGAGCACTCTCTCAATATACCTTTCTTGTAACAACCATAGTTTCACAACCGTCCTGTCACGAGAGATCTTCATGCCCAATATTTGTTGATCATGTCCTAAGTCCTTCATGGCGAAGGCATTGCTCAACTGTTCTTGCAACCTGCCAATTTTGCTAATGTCATGTCTGACAATTGGCATGTTGTCAACATATAGTCAAAGCATTATGACGTTGTTGTCAGATAACTTCTTGATGAACACACAATGGTTTGAGGCTGTCCTCTTGTATCTATAACTCCCCATGAAGGGATCGAAGTTCTTGTACTACTGCCATATAGGTTCTTTTCTTGCTGCTCTATCTTTAGATTCAAGCTTGTAGCCACACCAAACACCACACAGATTGATGACATTTTCACCACGGGAGAAAATATTTCATCAAAATCGATACCCTTTTTTCTATGAAACCTTTCACAACTAACCTGACCTTGTACCTTTGCTGTGAGCTTGTCCCTTCAGTGTTATCCTGTAGACCCACTTGTTCTTCAGTGCCTACTTGTCTTTAGGCAACATTATCAAGTCATAGAAGTGGTTCTTATGCAAGGATTTCATCTCTTCTTGCGTAGCTTTAACCCACTCTTCATTTTGTTCATCGGTTTGAGCTTCCTGTTAGCTTTCTGGTTCATCTCCTTCAGTGTATAAGATATACTCTGATATAGGGTATCTGGTAAATGGTTTATGTCTCCTAGAAGACCTTCTTAGTTCAACTGTAGGTGATACTTCTTGAACAGGCTGCTCCCTCAGCTGGTGACTCCGTTGGAGGCACACCTCTGTTGCACCTCTCTTGGGACCCATCCTCTTGTTGCACTTCTCCTTGTCTTCATATACCATGATAGTAGGAACTATGACCTGTTCTAAACCATTAAATATTCGTGTCTTTTCTAACTTCTTCATGTCGTCAATAATGAGGTATTCCTGAAAGACTACATCTCTACTCTTAATCACTTTCTTATTCTCAGGATCCCATAGCCTATAATCGAATTCTTCATATGAGTACACTAAGAAGATGCATAGGAGTGCTTTCTCATCCACTTAGAGTTTTGTTCCTTAGGAACGTACACCACTGCCTTGCATCTGAACGCTCTGGGATAATGACTTGATCAATAAGTCATCTTTTCCACTTTCCAGAACTGCCTTGTTTGGAAAGAAGACAATTTCCATTAGATGCCCCTCCCTCAATGGGACGAGATACCCAACACTAGGTTCAATTCCTACAGCTAATTTACCCGGAAAAAATCTTCTACTCGTATTGGTTTGAAAGGAAGTTGAACGACAAATTTGTGTGCAGGCTTTAGAGAACTTGTGTCCATGAGAATTTATGCTATCTGGCAAGAAAGAATCCGGCGGGCAAAGAATGAGCACCATCATACTATTCATGGAAGCACTATGGGAGATTATTTGGAAGAACAGAAATTATGCAGTGGAAATAAGGATAATGCCCTAAAAATAAAAGAGGGAGAATCATATATGAAAAAAAGGGAAGACGAATTGCTGATGGAGCGTTGAGCAAGAAATAGTAGATGCAAAGATATTTCTATGTACATGAGAGACAGAGAGATGATAGATTGTATGTAAATATAGTGCAAAACAAGAACTAATTCCTCAACTCTCGCACAACTTTAAATAAATTAATACAATGGGTGGGGTTCCCGCACGAACCCCGGCTCGTGTATCAATAGAAATGCACTCTCCTTTTATTGATTTCTCGCAGCTTATAGGCATAAATGTTGGTTATTATTTTAAGAAATGAAATATATAAAATATGATATAGAATATATGTTTTGAAACCTTAGATCTATTGAGATATAAAACTTAAAATGGGGGGTATAGAGATATTTTCCCTTATTATTAACCATTATAGGTGAAATTGGGTAGTTGGGAAATATGTCATTAACTAGGCACAGTGTTCAAAATAAAATTTCTTTAATATTGTGATGCACTTCAATCCATTAAATATCACATCTGATAGCTAAAAATGATTGTGAGCTCTTTGTTAAAAAAGTAAATGGTCTCATTATATGCAATCCCCATTACTTTATTGAATGTATGACTTCAGTCATACAACTTTAGTTCTTTGATGGTGATTGTATCCAAATTTGATAGATGATCAATTTTAGGGTGATTAAAACATGTGAATACTCAATTTACCCTTGAATATCGAAACTTATAGATTTGGGCTCTCCCTATACATATATATCCAACTGCAAGATTTGAAGATCTTCTCCTCCTCGCAATGCATGCCTTGGTGGCTATGTACAAGAAGATAGGCCAAGAAAGAAATCACCATTTTATACTTGTTCCTTGCTCTCAATGTCAGTGCTCCCACATTTGTTGCTACTCATATAAACCACTTGATCTCTTAGTAGCAGGTTTGCTTTTCCTGCTTTTTTTGGTTTCATCTTTAACAGTTTCCATGTTTGATAGATTCAAAATTTTGCAGGTGCCTATCTAGCCTATAAACTACCATATATTGAAATAGAAAGTACCCAATGTGTATCTAAATAGTTGTTTCATACTCCTAGAAATCATTATTAAAGAAAAAGTAAGATCGTTTTACCTTCAAAAGTATTCTTATATGACACATTTTTTCTCTTAATATCTAAAACTCGTTATTGGTTTTAATTATGGGAAAACAAACGTACAGAGTAGACCCACCCAATTACTTCGAGACCTTTTTCTACAAGGATGGAAGCTCACTTATGTGGAAGGATAGTATGCAGAACTGACCATCTAATTTCGGCAAAAAATTGAATCTATCTACGGCCTACAATTTACACCTACATCTTTAATTTGGACCTACCTCGTAGTCTTCATCTCTCTCTCTCTCTCTCTCTACTTGTTAGACTAAGTGTTGCGAAGATATATCAGAAACCAATTTACAAACTATGTTAACCATGCAATAATAATGAACAAGTATCATAAAACGCACACCAAACACTCTCACTTTTGCTGCACGAATATGGCTGCAGAGAGAGAGAGAGAGAGAGAGGAGTTTAGTGCAATTGCGAGTACATGGATCTCAATTGAGCCAGTGAATAATAAATAATCGTTTTTGAGTTATTCCCGCAATTCAAAGCACACAAGAGAATGATATGTGGGAGAGAGAGAGAGAGAGAGAGAGAGAATTAAGAAGAAGAGTAGAGAGAGAGGGGTAGGTTGGTTTACCCGATACCAAGAGGGAAGGTGAAGGAAATGCACATGAGGTAGAACCACTCAGACTCGGTGAGGTCTTCGGGGGAGAGGGCGGCACATGGCCTCTTCGAGGGCTGGTTCGTCTCTCCAGCCGACAGTGAGTCGTAGAGCTCCCTCAGCTGTTGACTCCGCTGGAGGCACACCTCCTCGGCATTAACCTCCATGGGCTGCACCGTCTTGCGCGTCTTTATTGCCCCGTTATAGTAACCATCACCCCAAATAAGTACCCTGCATCAGATTACATTCCTCAAAAACGCAATCAATTCTTCTTTCTCTCAAACATGAATCATGACTGTGAGAGAAAGTAAGAATTGTTTGCCTCACCCTTGTTGTGGGCAAATTTGCCAGAAGACACTGTATGTCCATTGCACACTTTGGACGGCTAACTGAAGGAGTCGTTGGAGCTGAGCCGCAGCGGATGACAAAGCTGGAGTCTCTGCAGTGGCCATACTCCAATTGGGCTTAGACGAGGACGATGGGGTGGGAACCATGCCCCTTAGAGAGAAGAGAGGGGTGAGTATGGTAAGAGAGAGAGAGAGAGAGAGAGAGAGAGATGTTTTTTTAGGGGTGCAGCAGGTGGTAGAAGAATGGGAGGAGAGTGGTGTGGTGGTGGAAGAGAGGCAGAGCCCAACGGTTAGTGCAGTGTTTGCAGGTAAATTAATGGACTACTTTAGAGAGAGAGAGAGAGAGAGAGAGAGA